CCCTTAGAATGACCGGAATACCTCGCCGCCCCTTGAACGGGAATACCTCGCCGCCCTCAGAATGACCGGAATACCTCGCCGCCCTGGCAATGACTGTAATACCTCGCTGCCATTGAATTTTATTGGCCTGGGATATTTCCACAAACAGTAAAAATATCTTAGAACTTATACAATACAATTGTTTGCTTTTTTGCTGTGTGGAATTGATTGAGGTGTGTTTGACTATAGGACATGACAAGAGTTTCCAGTTGGATGTCTAGGCAATGACAATGAGCACATGTGTTAAACAAATTTCAGTTTCTGCTTCCACAATGAGCTTCATTCTAATTTAATATATGTCTTTTTGTCAGCAGGATATCTTAGTGGTGTGTTTCACCCGCAGGGCGAGATCCTGGGACTTCGGATGGCAATGGATGAAGATACTCAAATGGAAGATGAAGCGGGTTTGAATCCAGGCCTTGGGGAGCTCACCTTTGACGATGGAGGTATGCGCGGGCTTGCTGCAGCACTGTGCTGGGTTGGGCTGGTTTACAGATGCTCCAATGAGAGCAAAGAGGCATTGTGCCATCCCAGTGTGATTGCCCTGGCTCGCTCATTGCTGCAACTGCCTACCATGCGTAAGAGCCAAAGCTCAGACATGATGTCTGAACAAATCCGCCGCATCATTCGCCAGAATGTCGAGTCCAAGAAAATGGCAATCACCAGCTTTGAGTGGGCGGAAATCCTACGCAACATGAACAAGCAGGGGCAACCAACTTCAGTGCAAGATGCCATCGACTGCTACAACAAGAGTCCAGAAGTCGCCGCTCATGGTGGATCTGGTTCCAAGGAAGGTTGTCAACAATTTGTTCACACTAGTCAAAAAATACTGAGTTTCAAGATGGTGCAACTGTTGTAGTTTGTTTGATGTCCCTGTAGGACCGGATTGGTGCGGGCTCTTTGGTGATTGACAGCAAGAAGCTGTGGGCAATAAAGCATTGGATGGAACAGACCTGTGACGCAGCACGTGAAGAGGTCATGATCTCATTGAAAGACAATGCCTTTGCCTTTGGACCTTGGGGGGAGAGTTTGTCTATCATGAAGCACCTGTTCATGAAGTCCACCATTTCCAATCTTCAGTGCTCCACTTCGTCATTGTCGCCTTTGGAGGGTGAGAGCACCATTCCTTTAGACTGGACTTTGCCCATGTGGTCTCATGCACAGACAATGCTCTTCCGCAGGATTCGGTTGCACTTCGAGAAAGCGACAGCCATTGTGGAAGATGCCCAAGACCGTCGCAAATACAGAATGTCTGAATCGGATCTGTTGAGCCTCAGAAATGTTCTGTGCCTTTGGGCACAGGTGAGGGATTTCCTCTCTACCCGCCTTCCCAACTTCACGAGCCTGGAGGAAGCACTCATGAAGGGCAATGGAGCTGATCATGAGCTAGAACAGATCCTTCAGCAGCGGCCAGCCGTGTTTGCAGTTTCCTTCTTGCCGTGTGCGCAACAGTCTGCTCTGGAAGATGTCAAGAAGCACGAAGAAGTTGTGACATTAGAAGCTCAGAAGCAGAGATTGGAACTGAGGGATGCAAAGTGGAAGTACTTTGCTGCTGCGCTTAACCGTGATCAGCAGGTTTTGCGCATGATTCTTTCTGCTCCAGCAAAGCTTGAAGCTTTGAAGCACAGGAAGCAAATGGCATGGAGGATTGAGCAAGCCCAGGTCGGAGAACGGGTGGTGAAGAGCTACCTTGAGAAGTTCCTTCGGTGTGATGTTGTTGAGAAGATGGAGCATGGGCAGCTGAAGGTCAACGAGTACAGGAGTTTTGTGGCTGCTTGCTTCCAATTCAATTGTTTTGTTTCATTCTGGATACTGATGACTTTTTACATTAAGGTGCGACAAGCGTTCAACCCTTCTTATAAAACCTCGTTTTATTGTGAACCTTACAATCATTGTCCAATTATGTTTGTGTGATGTGGTGTTGAAATTTCCACCAAGCCCAAAGCATCATCCCTTCTCATGTAAACCTTTTTGTGTCTGACATGTGAGGCAGCTACTTGCAATTGCAAAGAATCTGATGTCCACATCTTGACCTTCGTGGATTTGAATGTTCCTTTGGCCAAATCCAAGGAACGCGTGGAGGAACTATGCACCCTCGTGCAATTCGCGAATGACCTCCAACCTACGCGCAATGTCGGCGTCATTGAGGTGCCTGAAGCACCGAAGAAGACCTCAAAGCGTGGCCTTGCGGATGAGGAGACTGATCTGCAACAGACTCTGTGGGGGTTGCGGCAAGCATGTGACAACAGATGGTTTGTTCCTTTTGAGATCCAAGCCTCGGCAGATGCCCAGACTGCCAGGAGGCGGAACCTGTGTGAAATGATTACACAACACAATATAGCACTTAGAAATATCATAAACTCTATTCTGTGAGAACTTTTGGATGGTTTACTCTGGGATGATTTATATTATATACAGTTCTCATGATTTTAATTCAGCAAGCATTTGCTGACAGAAGCAGGACGATATTTCGACAATGTTTTGGTGTTTTGTTCTCGGAATCATGCTGTAGGCGGTTCTCCTTTGGACGCTTGGTGGTCAACAAGGAGGCTGAAAGCGATAACCCGTGGATCAACAACAGTGAGTTTGGTAGTGCAGGCAGACCTTTGGGCACTGACCCAATTATCCTACCATTGAGCAAAGACCTGATCCTGCCAGAAGCATTAGATCCAGACAGCGACCTGCGCTTTGCAGAAAGACTTCGACCAAGTTCGGAAGCGACATCCGCTCAAAAAGGGTGTCAGCGTTGGGAGGCAATTCTCAAGTCCATGCTCACCATGACCGGCTACAGCTTGAAGAAGTCACCAGTCATTGTACTCAACCTCACGTCCTATGTGGAGGATCTTGGAGTTTCAGTTCCTTGTCTGGATAGGAGGGCTGGCATGAGGAAAACCCCTCCCCATCAAATGTTTGAACGAAACCGCATGTTGTTTGGCAGTCAGTTGATCAGGCCATAGCGCAGCCCGGTACACGTTCATTTAGATTGCCATGCTTTGCTCTGCTGATGTGTTTTGTTTATATAATGGTTCAGAGCCAGCCAAAGTCAGATCTCACCGTCATGATGACCCTGACAGCTCTGGAGAAGAGATGCTCAAATTGAAAAAACAAGAGCAAGCACGTGACATCTTCTCTGTCTTTTCCAGACCTGACTTACCCAAATGAGAAGAACCCTTATATATAATAATTAGACCCCTTTGCCTAAAAGATTCGGATGCATCACTATCGGCTACTACAGGCTTCTCAGTTTGCCACCCAATGACCACCCAAAGAACCCTCCTGCGTTCTTGTAGTAGTAGCTGCAAATTGCATCGCGCAACCAACCCATTAAACTAGAGCTCCGAGCTATGGTAATACGAAAGAAAGCACAATTCAGTGAGAAGAAAAAATAGATTCAAATAGTGGAAAACATGGTTGGGTGAGAAACCAATGATTACCAAGAGTCAGAGCTTTCTTTGCGGTATGTGTCATTGGGTCCTTTTTGTCTCCAAAATTTGAATTTTATTTTGGATTGAATCAAATTCATTGGTTTTAATCCAAGGCTTTCCGTCTCAGGGAGTCCAAGCAAGAGCTCAAGGGAGGCTTTCACACGGACTTGCTCTTTTACCAAAGCGTTTGGTGGCTAAACAAGGACGGATTTGGAGCTGCACGATTGGCCAGAGAGGTGACCGATGCATGGATCGCAGGTAAGCTGGAGCACGCAGGGCAGAAAATCAATGTCGACATTCCAGCTTTGACGAATGATGAAATCTCATCAATCCCAGGCGCTGCCGCAAGCCTTTCTCGACTTGACACGGTGCAGTTCGAAGTCCTGGAAAGGATTGGCAGCAGCATGAACATCAAGAATGACGAACACCGCTTCTGGATGGCCCAGGGAGGGACCATCACAGATGAATATTGTGCCCTTCGTGAAGCTCATCTTGACCTCATAGGAAGGGAAAATGTGCTTCAAGCAGATGGTCCAAGTGAAGCATCCCAGCAACTTGTAGAGGCACAACCCGAGAACACAGAGTCTGAAGCAGCTACCACAGCTACCACCATGGAATCCTTGGAAAAATTGGAAGCGTCGCATGGTGTTGAGCACAAGGTTGCCTCGGAGATCCCTCAAGTGAAGATTATTTTGGCAAAAGATGGGTCTTTGTGGCTGATGTCTTCTCAAGATCGGTCCATCCCAAAGCATTCACAACTCGGAGGCTTTGGGACAGGGCAGTATGTGCCAGCAGAAGGAGAGGAAGGCATCGACTTCCATCTCCCTGAAGGGGATCGCTCTCTGGTCCAACTCGACGAGGCATCTTTCAAAGCAGATGGGAGTGGTGTGTCAGTCATCACCTTCTTCAAAATGCTTGTCTTAGCGGAGCAGCAGAAGCATCTCACTCAACATCTGGTCTCCTACATGAATGTGACCAGGAAAGCGGACAGCAGCCTTGAGACCGGGATGGATGGTTTTGAGATCACCTACAAATCCAAGATGCGATTCAAGTGCTTGGTTCAGGAGAAGGTCACCTGCAAGAACATTTTTGCGAAGATGGTGGGCAAAATCAATGAGATGGGTCAACTGCAGTCGATTTTTAGGTTCCGATATGAAAGGATTGGAGCCTCTTTTAAAGTCCAGCGGCCATACGTAATTACAAAGGCCAGGATTAGCCTCAAGCGCGGACAGCCTCAACAAATCAAATAGGGGGTTGGCATGCTAGAAATGTCTGTTTACTAATTTTGTTTACCTGGTTGGGGATGATTAGAATCTTTTGGAACAGTTTTTGAACATAGAATGGTTTGTTTGATGAATCTCGGCACCTTGCCACACCTGTTTGTTTGAGGCGGGCTTCAGCATGTTTGCATAACAGTGCTTCAGGGCTTCAGGGTCGGTTGTTTGACAGGGCTAGGAATTGCTTATCACAGGTTTGTCATTTATCCAATTTCGGATTTTCTGTCTGAGCTGTATTCACCTGAGTGCACTGCGGCATATGCTGATTTGGCAATAGCATGGAGCTCATTGGGCGCTAGACTTCTCTGATAGGAAGCCACAGTCCTGAAAGAAATCCTAGTCATCCTAGTCGAAATACTAGTTGATCTATGATGATCATTCAATGAACGTATCCTTGTAGGTTTTATGGCTTTGCTTCAAGGGGAGTGAGAAGATGCTAGCATCATCCCAATGGTAGGTAGCTTTATACAACTTTGCCATTTTGATGAGGCAACACCGCGCAAGAAAACAACAGAAACGAGACACTCAATTCTTCTCAGCAAAGCTTTGGCAAGGAGGAGCATCTCTTCAACTACTCTATTGTATAATTTGTATAGTGAGAGTTGAGAGCAGTGTGTACCTGTTCTGTTTTGTGTGTCAAACCGGCTCAATTTGAGATTCCTTGTTTCAGTCAGTCGGAAACTACCTTGATTCTCAGAATGGCGCTGACTTACGAGGAGGTCTTGAAGGTGTGGCAAGGCCTGGAGATTATCCTGGGCATGTCTGTCTTGAATGAGAAGGGCGATTTTGGTCATGAATGCCTCAGAGAAACGCTGATCAGGCTTCAGTGTTTGCCCCTCTTCAATGAGACACCCGAGAACATGGATGTTCTGTTGAGCATGGTCCAGTTGCTCACAGTACTTCGGAACATGACTTTCTACGCTTCATGAACGGAGGTTACGACGGCTCAGAGATCGCAACATGGATTCACCATGGTCGAGATGTTGTTGGACCTGCACAGCCTACTCGCGAACTCAAAGATGTGGTTGGAAACAGCCGAGAGCACATTGAAGACATTTTGGACAAGTCCATCCAAGAGGTGAAACACCTTCAAGTGACTTGTAGCTCTGACAGTTTTAATGTGCAGCAGTTGCTGTCTAAAGCCCTGAAGCTGCTGGAACAAGTAGCAGAAGAGCTCTCAGCAATTTGATAGGTGTGCCACTTTTGTCGCTCTTTTTGGGAAAAGAGTAGGTGCATTGTTGTGCAACTCTTTCATTTGGCAGTCGCTCGTGGCGCAAAGGTGTCATCAACTTTCATACACTTTTATGGCCTGATCTCCCCATTTGACTTTTAAGTTTCATTTTTTACATATGGCTCAAGCAAGTTGGTTAAGTCTGGACTCCGCCGCTGATGTCCTTTGACATTCAGAATCATATTTTGCGCAGCGCTGCTCTCCATGCCCAGGGAACACAAGCACCAGGGCCTTCACCACCAAGGGCTGTGGCAACCCATGAGAGTCAGGGTGGAGGTGGGGATGTTTTTGAGGCAACACCACAGCGAGGACAATCACAAGAAACTACCCCTCCAGGGAGAGGTCGTGGTCGTGGAAAAGGTCGGGAACGAGGGCGTGGCAGGGGGCGAGATAGTGGAAGACTTTTGTTTGCAGAGTGTGGGAATTGTTGTTTTGTCTAATGATATTCGATATTCATTAATCCTGTCCCTGAGAAAAAAACAATCTCATTACAAGTTCATGGGATACACCCCAATACAGCCCACCCAAAAAAAAAGCATTAACATGATTAACCTTGCAAGCTCCATGCTCAGGAGCACCTGTGCTGAAGAGACCTGCTGCTAAAGTGAAGGAGGAGCCTGAACCAACACCCATTATGAAGAGGCCTTCGGTGTCCAAGTCTCCAGCTAGAAAAACGAGGAAGAGGGAGACTTCTGATGGAAATGATGGCGGAAACATTGCTGATGCTACTGCTACCGATGCCAATTTGGACCATGAAGAACCAGAGGAGGAGGAAAGGACCAGTGATCCAGAAGTGGCACAGGAGGAGGCGGAGGAGGAAAAGGACATCGAAGTCAAACGGAAACCAGCTTCAGCTCCTACAACACCAACACCTCGGAAAAAACCTTCAACGGCAACAGGACGTGGGAAACCGAGGAAACCTACACAGCGGGCAAGCTCTACTTTGGTTCTAGATACTGCCTTTGATGATGGATGGAAGCTTCAAAAGTTTGTCCGCAACCCAGGCACCAAAGGTGCAGGTGGAACCTATGCAAAATTCACCGCCCCTGATGGCACTACCTTGTGGTCCCTTGTGAAAGCCCGGGATGCGGGCTTTGTTCATGATTACAATGGACAGTGATTAGATTTAGCCATGATCGCTGGCTCAGAATGAGCGTTTTTGAGACTAGCAACATCCTGCGAAGTCAAAAATTGATAGCGGCTTCCATCACAGATTAACACACACAAGTTAACACCGAACCGAAAACACCACAAGTCTTGAAAACACTATCTTTTATGAGAACTCCTTTATTTTACTTACTGTACATATTTTATGTTGATACTGATGATCAAAGAAAGGGGTTGCTGGCTGCCGCTTCGTACTGTGTGAGCGTGTGTTGTGTGTGCATGGGATGGGTGCCAGCATGTGGCAGGGGAATGGACTTGAAGACCACATAAGGTGGAATGAAGCTACATCTGACTTTCCAGTGGTACGCTTTTTCAAGGCATGAACACTTGTTTGATGATGTGCAGTTTTTTTTCTGTCACTTTTTTCTGCTACGACGGAGGGTTCAGGTAGTTGATTTTTTGATACTACCATGAAAATAGCAACACCAGGGCACTGACTTGTGACAAATATCCCAACACCTATAGGCAAGAGGTGTGCGGGAAACTGTTTTAAACCAAATTGAACAATAGGTCAAACATATTCCAGCATGGATTGAAAAAAATGTTTTACAGCAAAATGTATCGGAGGACGCAGGTCACGTTGTATGACTATAAGGTTACCCATGATGCACTCGATGGATCGTGTGCCACCGTGGCACGCCCGGTGTTGCCCCCTCTCCACCCCGGCTCGAAACCCGGTTCCAGGTCGGGACGAGCATCAAGAGATACGAAGGTACCACGAGGAATGACATCCAATCCATCCTGCGACAAACCAACCTATGCCACTGTTCTTTCTCTCCGCGAAGTACTGCGGAAAGTACGAGCTTCGGCGGACCGGATCGGCCGAACACTCCAGGCTCGGTCCCAAGTTAAGGCATTGGTAGGCATTGGCCCGTGCACGCCGCACGGAGAACACCGGATCTATGTGATGTTTGTTTATTACACTCCCTGAAACAATCATGGAAGTGGACAGTGGTCCCTTGGAAGACTATGTTCCTCTACCATCCTCTACCAGGAGGGGGTTGTCCACTTCCATTGTTGCAGGGTATACTGACCTCTGTTGGATCATGCGCGACCTAGTGACTAGGTGGCTCCAAAGGCTCCCGTGACCAGATTTCGAGCTGTCAAGGTCATCTTAAAAGCATGAGTCCGGTATTGATGCACCAATCCAGCATGTGTGGGTGCTTGGTTTGTATGTTTACAGGAAACCAGCCAATATCGCCCACCTTTTCACTTGAGCCAAAGATCGATGGTCGAGAGGTATATAGTACATAGAATACGTGGAACACTTAGTAAAAACACCCCCCGCGGCGCGAAGCGGCTTTGCCGCGGTGCACCGAAGAGGAAGTCATTCAGTGTCCACGTATCAACCTCAGGCGGCGATGAAATCAAACCGCACTACGACCCTCGAACTACTGCTTGCGAGTAATGCATGTCGGCACGAATGCAATCAAACTCCTACTTAACGATGCAAGACGAAAGCATGATTGAGGCAATCGATCCCTTTTCACTGACGCGGAGCATGCGACAAGACTTCGCCTGAGCAGCTATGGCAATTGACCTCAAAAATTGCGATAAGCAATGAGGTTTCTCACTAGGACAACGGCTATGCCTTCCGGCACGCTCGTCTCACTGGGAACTCTTACCGTTCCATGCTCGAGAAAAGCGTACACAGACTGCACAAACCATTGAATTAAATGCAAAATGAGCTGATTGAAGGGTTTACGGCAGAGCGTTCCCGCCCGCTTCATAGGGACCTTGAAGGTATCACACCAACGAATTTTTTCCGGCGTGACCTTCCGGTCCGCATGGCGAGACGATGTTCTCTGCTTCTTTCTCCCTTTTCTTCATGGCTCTTCAGCGGTTCCACCAGCCTCCCTTGGACGAGGACCACCAGTCGGAGGAAGATGACGAGGCAGCCTCACTCTGCCATGAGGATCGCCCGGAGCGGTTCCAATCCCACGAACCGGAGCCCCAGGAACCTCCCCATCCTTGGTTCCAGCTGCTTTGCCAGCCTCCTTGATACTGGCTCTTCCCCTTGCCTTTGCCCTTGCCCTTGTTGCGACCCTTTGCTTCTGGGCAGTCGCGGGCACGATGGTCGGGTGAGCCGCACTCGTAGCAGAGCTTGGCGTCTTTCCCGACTCCTTTTGAGCGAGGATCGAAGGCCGTCTTCGTGCTTTCCTTTGCAGTGGATCGCCGCTCGGTGAGCTTCACCTCTGGAAACCGTCCTGAAAAGATCGTCGTGTCGGAGTACTCGGTTCCCTCGCAGGCTCGAGCCCAATTGCGTTCAGCAAACTCCACTAAATCGCTCAGGATCTGCACGGCGTCGCCTTCCGGCACGCACTCCAGGCTTCCCCATCCCTCCACAGCAACAACGGGTTCGTTGCGTGTGCGGGCCAGCGAGCACCACATCGAAAACTGCTTCAAATTGAAGAAACGATTGTGATGACATACGAACGATTCGTCTTCGATCGACATGGCATCGTTCGGGTCCCTGGCAATAGTGGGGATAAAGCACAACTTGGAGTGGTGCTCCCTCTCTTGGTCGTCAAGGGCCCTCTTCCGCTCGAGAGCGCTTCGTCCAGGGTTGGCAAAG